TCTAAAACAATGTTTCTCGACCTTTTTTTTTTTTTACTTTAGGACGCACTAGTAAAATAACTAAAACTCTGGTGTGTACTTTAAATTTTAATAAGAAAAATTTAATAATTTAATCATTTTTTTTTTTAATAAGCATTTCGCTCCAACCAAGGTGGGAATGCTACTAGTACACAAGGGATTACAAAGAGTGAAAGTAAGAGAAAAGAGTATGGAGGGGGTGGGGCCGAGGAAAGAATGTAAAGAAGAACGGGGATCAATTCATCAGAAGATGTCGATTGACATTACATTTAAATTTTTTGAAGGTTATAGTTATCAGGGAAGCAAGTAAGAGGAAAGGAATTCCACTGTTGGGAATTGCAAGAGAAGGATCTTTTTGAGTAGAAGAGGCGGTAACATTTCACTGTTTCAACGGTAAAAGGGTGGGACCGAAATGCCAACCCAGTGACACGCTTAAATTCATGCACTGGGGGCACCAGTCTAAATAGCTCGTCAGAGCAGTTGCCATGAAAATATGTGTAGAAAAGACAGAGGGAAGCCACATTACGTCGGGGAGAAAGTGACTAGACTCGAGACCCCATGTCAGGACCGATCGCATTGTATATCCGTCTTTGGATTTTGTCAAGAACCTCCTGATGAACAGCGGGGGCACCAGACCATATATGGTAACATTATTCCATGCATGGGCGAATGGTAGATTTGTGGATGTGAAGGATGGACTCAGACGAGAAAAACCTTCTGGCGTGACACAGAACCAATCTTCTTTGCTGTAGGTGCTGGTATTGAATTGTTTTATTTTGTTTTAAGGCATATCAACCTCAATGGGTTATTTAATTCCGGCAACATTTTCAGGATAGATTCGTATGAATAGAATATGTATTCTTTGGTTTAGATTGGTTTGGTTTGTTTTACGTCTTATCAACCTCAATGGGTTATTTAATGCCGACAACATCTTTAGGATAGATTCGTATGAATAGAATATGTATTCTTTGGTTTAGATTGGTTTGGTTTATTTTGTTTCACGGCATATCAAACTCAATGGGTTATTTAATGCTGGCAACATTTTCAGTCTAGATTCGTATGAATAGAACATGATTTTTTTTTTGTTTTAGATTGGTTTGGTTCATTTTGTTTTACAGTATATCCAACTCAATTGGGTATTTAATGCCGACAACATTTTTAGGATAGATTCGTAGGAATAGAATATGTATTCTTTGGTTTAGATTGGTTTGGTTTATTTTGTTTAACGGCATATCAAACTCAATGGGTTATTTAATGCCGACAACATTTTTTATTGCTGGTTATATTTTCTTTTGTCAAAAATCTGTTTCTGGTAATATTTTTCCTTCAAAATTGTATTGCTGGTAATAAATTTTTAAAAAAAGTATTTCAAAAAAGTATTGCTGGTAAAAGTTAACTATTTGCCCATAGCTGGGTCAGGGTAGACCTGGAAGCACCAGCAATTAAGAAGTGGTTCAATGCTCCTCAAAACCTCCTGATCAGAGGCCTTACTGCTGGATGTAGTTTATCGTCTTACCCAGGACGCGGATGTAGTTTATCGTCTTACCCAGGACAAAGATGCTGCTATTGATTCAATGTAGTTGTTCCACCCTAGGATAATGGAAAACTTAACACCAAGACGGCGCAGTAAGACGCTCTCAGGTAGCTGAGTATCAACCATGCTGATTGGAAGTAGGGAAGATATTCTATGGTGAGTAAATGAGAGAAGTTTCATTTTGGATGCTTTAAAATCTACAAGCTATTTCCTGTCTCCGTCAACCACTGATTGGAGGCCATTTTTCAAGACCAACGGCCAGTTTTATTTTGTCAGCAATGCCGGATTTACCATGGAGACAGGAGTAAATGATAGTGTCTTCTGTGAAGATGCCTTTTGAAAATGGGGAAAAAAAATCAAGAATTCTCCTGAAATAAGCTTTTATTTTTAATACATTACACTCTGTATTTAAGTATGCTTGTGTAAAACTTGTGCTTGATGTGTTTTGGCAATTCTTTGGATGTTAGGCCATATATGTGACAAACATATTCTCATTTCTTCTTTAATATTTGATCTATTTTTGCATTTGTTGTTGATAAGTACAGAAAAATTCCAAATCCACAGAGACATGATGTGGAAAATTGCAATAAAATATCCAATGCTTTACCGGCTCTTGAAGGCTATTCTTCTTGAACGAAAATCTCAAACTGATCAATGATCACCTCTTTATGTTTGATCTGTACACCACGATCAGCAGATACAGTGATTAGCTCCTCTTCTATTGATTGACTGATTTGTTTGTATCAACTCCTTCATGGGTCATTTAATGCCAAAATTTAATTTTCTTTGGAATTTTAATGTAATAAAAATATATGTTATTCTGCCTTCACAGTTGTATACATGGTAGATGATACGCAGCTTTTATGCATATACATGTTTGTGTGAACATCATTACTAGAACCGGTAATATGTGTGGCTTATGCTGTAGTTATGTTGAAGTTATATTTTGGAATACAGTTTGATTTAAGTAATTGAAGTATATTGTATTGGTTAATGTCATGAAAGTCTTATTTTTTGTTTGGTTGGTTGACTGAGTGATTGATTTTGTTTGGCTTTAAGCTCTCTGTGTTATTTAATGCCAAAATATAAATATTTTGTATGTAATTTTATACTTTCAGACTAAAGATATATTTAGATATTATATATTTTTAGATCATAAAATGTACTGTTAGTAATTTTACAATTAAAAATGTATTTTGTAGATCATAAAATACACTGTTGATAATTTTACTATTAAAAATGTATTTTGCAGATCATAAAATGTATTATTCGTAATTCTACCATTAAAAAATGTATTTTTTAGATCATAAAATGTATTATTGGTAATTTTACTATTAAAATGTATTTTATAGATCATAGAATATATTATTGGTAATTTTACCATTAAAATGTATTTTGTAGATCATTAAATGTATTGTTGGAAATTTTACCATTAAAAATGTATTTTGTAGATCATAAAATATATTGTTGGTAATTTTACTATTAAAAATGTATTTTGTTGATGATAAAATGTATTATTGGTAATTTTACCAGTAAAAATGTAATTTTTAGATCATAAAATGTAGTATTGGTAATTTTACCATTAAAAATGTAATTTTTAGATCATAAAATGTATTATTAGTAATTTTACTATTAAAATGTATTTTGTAGATAAAAAATATATATTATTGGTAATTTGTACTATTAAAATGTATTTTGTAGATCATCAAATGTATTGTTGGAAATTTTACCATTAAAAATGTATTTTGTAGATCATAAAATATATTGTTGGTAATTTTACTTTTAAAAATGTATTTTGTTGATGATAAAATGTATTATTGGTAATTTTACCATTAAAAATGTAATTTTTAGATCATAAAATGTAGTATTGGTAATTTTACCATTAAAAATGTAATTTTTAGATCATAAAATGTATTATTGGTAATTTTACCATTAAAAATGTATTTTTTAGATCATAAAATGTATTATTGCTAATTTTACTATTAAAATGTATTTTGTAGATAAAAAAATATATTATTGGTAATTTGTACTATTAAAATGTATTTTGTAGATCATCAAATGTATTGTTGGAAATTTTACCATTAAAAATGTATTTTTTCGATCATAAAATATATTATTGGTAATTTTACCATTACAAATGTATTTTTTAGATCAGAAATGTATTATTGGTTAATTTTACTATTAAAATGTAATTTGTAGATCATAAAATATATTATTGGTAATTTTACTATTAAAATGTATTCAAATTTGATTCAAACGTAATTTTCCTGTTCCTTAATACTTTAGCTATAGGAAGACATCTTTCACTATTCCAATCCGCCATTTTAATCATTTTTAAGTGGCCATTTTAATAAGTTGCAAATGAATAGGTACATAATGTTATAGACACTTGCTTTCAATGCATATAAAAAATTATGCATATTTATATGTTTTTGTTTCAAAATTTTTTCGTATAACTCCTGTCCTTGAAAATGAACATTGTTAGTTAGAAATCAATGATCATCTCCAAGAACAGGAATTATACATGAAAGTTTTGAAACTCATGAATAAATAATGTATTTTGCGTTTCATATTGTGTTATTTGGCGTTAAGAATGTTATAAACGTAAATCATATTTTAACGTTGCTTGTAAGCCGCTTACAACACACGTAAAGCCGTGTTTGGTATAATGAAGATTTCACCTATGTGCTGTGAAAGAGAGAATTAATATTTAAATTGTCCAGAAGCCCAGGGACTATTTCTTATCATCAGAATCTGATGAAATACCGTGGAATTCCTAATTAAGTTGGCATTGAACTATAACACACAATATGGAACAATTACAAAGAATCATTCAGAAGAGTTGTCAGAAAGAGTGTGTGCGCCAGAATGAAAGAGATATACAAAGAGACTACACAATGGGAAAAATAATAACAAGAGGGTGATTTGGGGAAGGTGACGAGGGGTCAACAAGATGAAGTGGAATTCTAAGGGCAAAAATCAGAAACAGTTAGGTGGGAGGATTTGTAAAACTAAGAATAAAAGAGCGAAGTAGAGAAAGGACTATTATGTAAGAGGGAGGAGAGACGAACAGAGAATGTGCAAGAGTGATGAAGAAGAGGAGGAGGAGAAGTATGTAAGATGGAGAAAGAGGGGAAATAGACAATGCGTGAGATCGAATAGAAGGTAGAAAGAGAGAAAGGAGGAAAAGAGAGAACTTTTAATACGAGCAGGGGGGAAGTGGGAGTAGAATTTTAAAAGGGGAAAGAGAAAAAACAAATTAGAAAAGATAAGAGAAGGAAGAGGGGATATAAAAGAGAGAAAGCGGAAAAAGAGACAACTTGTAAAAGTGAGGAGGAATATAGGATTTTAGAAGGAGAAAGAGAGAAAAAAAGAGGCGTGTAAGCGTGAAAAGGGGGAAGAACACAAATAAGAAGGATAAAGAAAATGAGAAAAACAAAAACAACGTTTAAGTGAAGAGAAGACAAAAGGAATGTAAGAGAGAGAAAAAGAGAAAGCGTTTAAGAGCGAGGAGGACTAAGATAGCGAGTAAGAGGGAGAAAGAAAAAAGAGAAAGCATGAAAGAGCGAGGAGGAGAAAGATAGCGAGTAAGAAGGAGAAAGAGAGAATAAAGAAAGTGTATAAGAGGAAGGAGGAGGAATATAGCGTCTAAGAGGGAGAAACGGAGAAAAAATAAAAGCGTCTAAGAGTGAGGAGGAAGATATCATAAGAGGGAGAAACAAAGAGAGAAAGTGTGTAAGAGTGAGAAGGGGGAAGATAGCGTGTAAGAGAGAGAAAGAGAGAAAAAGAAAGTGTGTAAGAGTGAGAAGGAGGATGATAGCGTGTTTTTTGGACAAAGAAGGAAAAAGAGACTGAGGTGAAGAAAAATATTTTGTTAGATGGAGAAAGAGAGGAAAAAGAAACCGTGTAAATGTGTGGAGGAGAAAGATAACGTATTAGATGGAGAGAGAAAGAAAAGAGAAAGCGTGTATGAGAGAGGAGGAGGAACACAGCGTGTATGTGAGAGAAAGAGCTCTCGTGTAAGGGTGAGGAGGAAGATAGCGTGTTAGATGAATAAAGAGAGAAAAATGAGGAGGAGGATAGCGTGCAAGAGGGAGAAAGAGAGAAAACGGAAACCGTGTAAGAGTGACAAGGGGTTGATTGCTTTTAAGTATGAGAAAGAGAGAATAAGAGAAAGCTTGTAAGAGTGAGGAGGAGGATATCGCGTATCTGTGAGAGAAACAGTGAAAGAGAAAGCATGTAAGGGTGAGGAGGAGGAAGACAGCGTGTAGATAGAGAAAGATAGACACAGAGAAAGCATGCAAGAGTGGAGAGGATGAGGATAGCGTGTAAGTGGGAGAAAGAGAGAAAAAGAGAAAGCGTTTAAGCGTGAATAGGAAGAAGATAGCGTGTAAGTGGGAGAAAGAGAGAAAAAGAAAAACCGTTTAAGAGCGAGAAGGAGGAAGATAGGTTATTAGATGTAGAAAGAAAATGAGATAGCGTTTAAGTGTGTGAAGGAGAAAGATAGCTTGTTAGATGTAGAAAGAGAGAGAAACGTGTATGAGTGAGGAGGAGGAAGATATTGTGTTAGAGAAAATAAAAGGAAAAAAGCGTATAATAGTGAGGGGGAGGAAGATAACGTGTTAGATGGAGAATGAGAGAAAAACAGAAAGTGAGGGGGAGAGGAGGATAACGTGTAAGGGGGAGAAAGAGAGAAAAGAGAAACTGTGTAACAGTGAGGAAGTCCCCTTGTTTGTAAGTGAGAAAGAACGAAAAAAACAGAGCCTGTTAGAATGAGGAGGAAGAAAATAGCGCATTAGATGGGAAAAGAGAGAAAAAAAGCGTGTAAGAGTGTGGAGGAAGAAGATAGTATATCATTGATAGAAAGGGAGATAAAGAGAAAACGTGTAAGGATGAGGAGTAGAAAGATAACCGGTTAGATGGAGAAAGGGAGAAAAAGAGAAAGCGTGTATGAGTGAGGAGGAGGAACATAGGAGGAACAAGAAAGAAAAGCAGAAAGTGTGTAAGAGTGAGGAGAAGGAGGAGGAGAGCGTGTAAGGGTGAGTAAGAGAGAAAAAGAGAAAGCGTGTATGAGTGAGGAGAAGGAAGGTAGCGTGTTGGAGAAAGAAAGAAAAGGAGAAAGTTTGTGAGGAGGAGAAAGAGGATGCCGGGTAAGAGGGAGAAAGAGAGAAAAAGAGAAAGCGTGTATGAGTGAGGAGGGGGAACATAGCGTGTTGGAGAAAGAAAGAAAGAAAAGCAGAAAGTGTGTAAGAGTGAGGAGAAGAAGGAGGAGAGCGTGTAAGAGTGAGTAAGAGAGAAAAAGAGAAAGCGTGTATGAGTGAGGAGGAGGAACATAGCGTATTGGAGAAAGAAAGAAAAGGAGAAAGTTTGTGAGGAGGAGATGGGGGATGCTGGATAAGAGAGAGAAAGAGAAAAAAAGAGAAAGCGTGTATGAGGGGGAAGATACCGTGTTAGATAGAGAAAGAAAGAAAAGCAGAAAGTGTGTAAGAGTGAGGAGAAGGAGGAGAGCGTGTAAGAGTGAGTAAGAGAGAAAAAGAGAAAGCGTGTGTGAGTGCGGAGGAGGAACATAGCGAGTTTGAGAAAGAAAGAAAGAAAAGGAGAAAGTTTGTAAGTTTGAGGAGGAGAAGGAGGATGCCGAGTAAGAGGGAGAAAGAGAGAAAATGAGAAAGCTTGTATGAGTGAGATGGGGGAAGATACCGTGTATCGGAGCGTTTTAGAGAAGATCTCTATTTAATGACTGGAAGAGGGTGTTAGTAAAGATGCTATAAGAATGGAAGAGGGAAAGAAAGAGAGGAGTTCTTAAAGAAATTAAGGCTGTTAAAATTGAAATGGTAGAAACAAAGGAGAGTGAATTTGAAAAGGTTTATAATAGTAGGAATGAGGGAGGGTGAAAGAGAGGGAATATATAAAAGTGTGGCGAAAGGATATGGAGAGAGAGGGTGAGTATTTGTAAGACCGAGGATGAATGAGAAAAAGAGTAGAGATTACAACAGTGAGAGAGTAAGTACGAGTTACATGGAGATAGAGAGAGAGAGAGAGAGAGAGAGAGAGTAGCTTGTGTAAAAATGAGGAGGAGAGACGAGATAACAGAAAGACTGCATGTGTACGAATGAGAATGAAATAGAGGAAGAGACAGAGAGCGAACGTGAGTGAGTGAGTGAAATAACGAAATACCAAAGAGCAAGAATGAGGGGGAACGAGAGAGAGACTGAAAATGAAAGAACGATTCAAAGAGAGAGGAGGACTCCTTGTTTTGTTATAATAATAGCAGAGAGAAGAAAGAGAGAAAGAGAGAGAAAGAGAGAGACTTTCCTCGCTCTTCCCAGCAATCCCTTGTCTCTTCATCGTCTGTCTCATATGAGCGCCATCTTGCATGATAAAGTCCTTTATGTTGCTATATTCAACATTAACAACTCCAAGGAGACAACCTTTCCCTGACTGCTACATCATTTGTCAGTTGCATCCAAATTAAATTACTAAAAATAGAAAAACAACTCTAAAACTAGCAGAAAACGAAATCAAGTGATATAATTTAGCGTCCCTTTTACTTTACCTGATGTTTTGATTGTAAAAGTTGAATAAAAACTGAGAAGGATATATAAAAGAAGCATTATATGTATAAAGGAAATTATATAAAGATTATAATTTATTTATAATTTATAATTTTATTTTATAAATTAATTCAATATATTAATAATAAATAATAATATTAATTTCAAATGTAAATAAAATAAAATATAAATATACTAATATAAATTAATTTCGACATTGGGAAACGGGTGATCTTCCCTGACATCGATGGAGTCGATTATAAAAAAAATCTTGCAGAGCTTCATCAACCACAGGGATCTCATTAAATAAATATGCACTTTTTAAAAACTTTATTAATTACTCACATATATTAAAATGATTTATTTATTATCTATTTATTTGTTTATTTATTATTATTATAAGTAATGGATAGCGGCTCGGATTGAGGAATCGGTGAGCCGAGTTCGAATTCTACACGAATCCATTACATTCACTTATGTGCTAATACCTTGTATTTATTTTTATTGTAGTGATGCGGCATTCACCCTGGGCGGATTGAGCCGGCTTCTTCCTGTTGACTCATTCGTAGTCATGTGAGAAGAAGATTCTTGGGATAAATTACAGAAGTAGGGTACCCAGGCCTACTCGGATAACGTTCTTGCTTGCCGCGGGGTTCCCACAGACGCAGAGACAGGAACGACCAGAAGCCGCCGGTCCTTGGATTTTTTTTCTAAGAGCAGGTTTTGAATTCAGAGTTTTCCTTCGCCTAGACTAGTTGCCATCCAAGGCTATAGAACCCAGTCTGTCATGCTATTTACCCATAGCTGGAGGGAGAAGAAGAGGATTCACACCTTTCCCAAGTGAATGTAATGGATTCGACTGGAATTCGAACTCGGCTCTCCGATTCCTCAATCCAAGCCGCTATCCATTACTCCACCGTGCTAATACCTTGGGAAAGGTATGAATCCTCTTCTTCTCCCCCAGCTATGGATAAATAGACAGGACAGACTGGGTTCTAGAGCCTTGGATGGCAACTGGTCTACAGAAGAAAGAAATGGCAACCTACTGCGGGGAAAAAAAATCTGCGTCGTCTAAGCTTGTATCACGCATGACACATAAGTGACTGATTAGTTATTTTACTAGTGTACGTAAAGGTTCTATAGAATTTAGTTATTAAATACAAGTTTATTTTTATTAAATTAATTTTACTTCAAAATAAAGCATATACATTCACTATTTCTATTAAACAATTCCGAAATTTATCTATTAGTAAAAAATAAAATAAGCTTTTTTTTTCGTCGAGTGGTTGTAGGGGTCCACCAAAAAATGTTAAGAGTAAAAGTAGTCCACGGGTAAAAAGGTTGATAACCACTGGTATAAAACAACAAAGGATGTGGAATTTGATAGATAAGAATCGAGGTATGAAAATAAGAATATTCGGCTTAATACGGAAAGAAGGTTGAAGAAAGCATCGACCGAAATATCATTCTGATTGTCTCTCTCTTAGATAGTACGCGCGTTACGTCGTGCCATTGTCTCATACAAATAATGGACTATTCCGTTTTCACTACGAGAACAGATGAGAAAAAATATCCGAGAAACTTTTTGGTTTCAATAACACACTGGAGACACGGTGGAATAATGGATGGCGGCTCGAACTGAGGAATCGGAGAGCCGAGTTAGAATTCCAGTCGAATCTATTACATTCTAATACACTTGGAAAAGGGAGGAATCTTCTTCTTCTCCCCCGCCCCCGCTATAACTTTGGTTGGCAACTGGTCTACCGCAGAAAGATATGGCAACCTACTGCGGGAAAAATCTTCCGTGTCAGTTATATATCAAAAGATACATGATCGTCTAAGTGTATCACGAATGGCAGATAAATAAAGTGGGGGAAATATTCCTATACATAAAATTTTTTAGTTGTATTTCCAACTAATGAATAAACATACTTTTCATATTTACTTCTACAGCAACCAACCTCTCCTTGTAATTCTCAATTAATGATTTGCAAATTTTAGTTCCATTCTTCTTCACATACTGTCTTCAGATCCGTGATGTTTGTTGGAGCTCTTGATTGGATTTGAATTTTCAAATAGCACCACAGATTCTCGATTGGGTTTAAATCTGGGAACTGATTTGGCTATTTCAGGATATTTACATTATTTTCAGGAAGCCATTTCTTCGTAGATTTTGCGGTGTGCTTAGGATCATTATCTCGTTGAAAGATCCAGTCAAGAGGAAGTTCCAGGTTTTCAACTGAAATCATTAAATTTGCTTCCAACATATTTTGATATGCTGTGGCATTCATTCTACCATTTATTACTGATATGTTGCCAGTACCTTTTGCAGAAAGACATCTCCAAACCATGATGCTGCCACCACCAAATTTCACTGTTGGAACTGTGTTCTTTTGTTTGACGGCAACGCTATCTTTCCCCCATACAACTCAGTTTTACTTTCATCTGTCCATAATACACTTTCCTAATACGACTTTTCCTTATCTATGTTCACGAACGAATTTCAACCTGGCATCTCTGTGTCTTTTCAACAGTAGTGGAGTTTTCCAAGTGGAATGTGACTTTAGATCGTTCCTATGAATTTCATTGCTTATTGTCCGTTTAGTGACAGATTCCTGATGAAAGCAAATCATCCTGCAAATTTTCTGTGGAACACTTGTTCTTGGGTTTTTAGACCTTGCAATGAATGAACTAATGGTAGTAAATGGAATATTCAGGTTGTCTGAGATATTCCTGTAACTTTTACCTTCTTTCCAAAAAATTTGAAATTGACAAAGTTTTTTTTCATTTTACGGTAACGGGCGTTAAACGCATGATCATGTTATCGCCCCATCTATTTTCCCTTTCTTTCTTTCTTTAACCCATAGCTGGGGAGGGAATAGGTATATTCATACCTTTCCTAAAGGTAATTGTGCGGAATTTAATATAAGGAACCTAACGGGAATTAGAACTCAGCTCTCCGATTAACAATTCTCAGACACTATCAACTACACTACTTGCACATGCAAGCTTACAGCACCTGGTATTCCCAAGCGGTCACCCATCTAAGCATTAACGTTGCTAAACTTCCATCATCATACGTATATATATATATATATATATATATATATATATATATATATATATATATATATATATCCTATTTTTTGAAAGAGTGATTCGTTATAATGTCAGAAAATATTAGATTACTAGCAGCATGGCCTGGCGTTGCCCGTGCTTGATTCAAAGATCGTACGACATACAGCAATCGCTATCACTTGACTTAAAATATTTTTGCCCTTCCTTGCCTTTAGAGGAGTGCCCTTTGCCGTGCTGATGTTGTTACATGCCTTACTTCTTGCCTATCTCACTACATGCCTTAATTCTTGTTCTTGTTCTTATATTTTAAAACATCATGGATTTTATATTTTAAAACATCTTTGATATTTTATTTTGGATTTTATATCTTAAAACATCTTGAAAGGTGCTAACTACGAGATACACATACTGAAGTCCGGAGAGTACAGCGGCCGAAACGTTGTGATGATAACTACCAAAATAAAGACCCTAGTCACAATAAATAGGTGCATGACAATGATAATAATTCAATTCAAAAATTCAGCTTTAGTTTGTAGATTACACACGCACATATTCATGTAGAACAACTGATCAATGGTGGGAGAAAAGAAAATTAACTTCGCTTAACCCAATTTGGTTTAGGCGGACATAGTAGCAAAATAGCAGCATGACCCGGCGTTGCCCGGGCTTGATTCAAAAATCGTGCGACTCATACAGCAATCGCTGTCACTTGACTTAAAATATTTTTGCCCTTCCTTGCCTTTAAAGGAGTGCCCTTTGCCGTTCTGATGTTGCTACATGTCTTACTTCTTGCCTATCTCACACTGCAAATTTTTTCTAAGCTCTATACTAAACATTAAATCTGTTACGAAGAAAGAACTAAACAAAATGAACACAAAACGATCAGCTTTAAAAAAGGACTCGTAATTGGAAAAACCGAATGAAAAAAGAATGTTAACAACAAATACTTTTTCACACCCAACTCAGTTCTGCGGAATCAGAATCAACGTTGAGTTTAAGCAAGCGAATGAGCCAATTGGAGTAAAGTGCCATGCAGATTTTAATTTTTTCCACTTGTGACGAATGCACCTATCGATTTTTTTTTTGCATGCTAGCATGCTAGTTAACATTCATGTCAGTCAGCTGTTGGCTCTCACGCTGGCCAATAGAATCTTCCTGCCTACTCGTGGCAGCCAGGTATACGCTCTCACTCTGGCCAGTAGAAAATGGCCGCAAACTACATGAAAACTGCCGTAGAAGCATGAAAAATCGATTATTTCCACTATCGACGGGAGTTGGGAAATGCAAAGTCGGTCTTGGCCTTCCCACTAACTTGGAACATGTGCATGTAAATTTTGGTGCAAAATTGCGGCCGTGCATTCGTTACGCACACACACATCTTGCCTTTTATAGATAGGGATAAGAATATTTGACGTAATAATGGTTTAGTGATTCAAGTCTTACTACTTAACCCATAGCTGGGGAAGAATAGATGGATTGATACGTTTCCCAAGGGTAATTGTGCGTAAGTTAATATAAGGAATCTAACGGGAATTAGAACTCAGCTCTCCGATTAACTATCCGCTACACCACTTGCACATGCAAGCATGCAGCACTCGGTCGCCCATCTCGAAGAGGAAGTTATGGAGAGCCATGATTGCTCACGTCTTGAAGGAACACGGACACATAGAAGAAGAATCTATAGCTCCTTTGGGATATGCCTTGCTGCGAAAGGTT